GAGCACACATGTTCTCAATCATCACCAACATCGGCGACCAATACTCAATTTTCTACCTCTCGACCCTTAATAGGCCACACACACACACAGATACCATTCTCTCACGTCACCAACATCGGTGACCCAACCCCTTGCCCGTCGGAGTCTCCCAACCATCACCACTATAGGCAATCAACCTACTCTTTCTAGATAGTGACACCAATATCGATGTCCCCCCCAAAGCTACCACTCAAGGACCACACCATCCCGTACTTGCTTCACCATGTTATCTTGAGACTCCCCTATTCCTTTACCCGGTATACTGACCCTACATAAATCTCCCCGTATGACACACACTAACATTTCACACATACGCCGGCGATGTTCCCTCGCCAACCCTTAAATTTACAATAGCTATACCAACCAATATCCCACCCCCATACTCACACCACACAACTACCAACACACCCCTACTCCCACACCTTAAACCACGCCTTACAGGCCCCTCCTTTACTTTCCCAATTTCTAGTATCTACACTCTCCTGCCCTTCTATACTACCTCTCCCTATAGTCATATTGCGCCTCTTCCCTCACCTGAATCTCTTCATACACACCGAACTCCTCTTCCACAGCCCACTCTATCACACAGTCATGAACTCTCCTCTCCCTCACGGACCTCACACCCTGCTTCCCTTCTTTTTCTACCTCCCAAGGCCTATTTGAAACATCTCAACTCACACAGTCACCATCACCAACACTCATCCCTCTCACGGAACACTCACCGAATGCATTCTTCCTTCTCTCTCCTCTCGCGGCTTCCTCCGCACACCCCACTCGCACACACACAAACTCTCCCCATCATCCCGGATCTCACGCACTCACCAACCTCCTCGCTCACTCTCTCTTCCCATGACCTTCCTTCCTTCGCATACCCTGTTCGTACACACACAAACTCTCCTCATCATCCCGGATCTCACACACTCACCAACCCCCTCGTTCACTCTCTCTTCCCGCGACCTTCACTATGTGTTTACACTCAATTTACACAAAACATCCACCCTCTCCCACAGACTCTCTACTCTCAACGTCTTCATCCTCTCTCTTCCCTCGACTCTTCGTGA